CTTTAACTGTGGATATATGAATATAATCCCCATCCGTACATTTTCATGGATCGGGCGATCTCTTTGGTCTTCTCATCGTAGAGCTGGTAACTTGAACATAATTAGGCAAGACTGATACGTGAAATGAAATCAGATGAGAGCATTTTTATATTAGATGAGCTCCCTAAAACCTATATATTCCAACATGCAACTGCATGAAGATCAAGCGGAAATATAAAATCAAATCCCTAATCAAGGAAATGCTGAAACAGAAACTTCAGTTAAAGTCACAGAGAAGAATACGTTCAATCGCCAAAATAAAATATTCACTGCGGACCTTAAGAAATATTGAAAGGAAATTGCAAATTACCTATACATGACGAAAATCCACGATCTATTGACAATGTGCAGGGAATATAAAGTAAATACAGAATGGGCCCATCAAGAAAAATAAATGCCGGATACACCTCGGCAACATATAGCCACAAATATTGTTAGGCAAGCTATAACGATATCCCGAAAATGGAAATCCCCAGGAAATGACAAGGTGCCCACTTTGTGGCTCTATCATATCTCATCAATCCATAAAACAATTGCAAAAACTCTATTAATGTTTGTAAATAATCCCAATTCAATCCCCGAATGGATTAATGAAGGTATTACATATTCCATGCTAAAAACGAGTGAAACAGAGGCTCGGAAAATTATAGGCCAATAACATGTCCACCACGTATAAATTGATCACGTCTGACCTGACGAACCGAACTTAATTTTTTTCGAAGCAAACAAAATTCTTCCACTGGTTGCAAAGATCAACTAATGATATGGAATATGATCTCAGAAAATTGCAGGAGCCGAAATAGGAATCTTAGTGCAGGTGGATTGTTTATCGTAAAGCCTTTGTCTTTGTTCCCCTTATGTATGAACTATATAAGGATAGCTATTGTTACAAACTAGACAACAATATTCAAACACCTACTCTTCATGGATGATCTCAAATCTTTGCCAAAGACGACAATGATTTGAAGTGCCTCCTCAATATTGTAAAAAAGTTTCACTGACGACATAGGTGTGGACTTCGGATTAGATAAATGTGCAAAAGTAATGTTGAGATTAATGACAAGGTACACGATTGGAAAATTCGTAAACTTAAGGAATCAGCACATATTCTAGGCCACAAAAGTCTCCTGAGACGACCAAGCATAGAAATAAATACAATATGGGAACCAGTAATAAGGAGTGCCAGAGAAAAACAATGATAACAACATAGTTGCAATATGAGCTCTGTTAAAAACATGTAATGATAACAACAAAATTGCAATATGAGCACTGGTAAAAAATGGTGCCGAAGACATTAAGTTTATAATACCCAGAAATTCATACCCAAATGTCCACAATGACACATGCCACAGTGGATAAAGGCATTGGTTAGACCCAACGAGTGTGAGTTCAATACCCGGTTAAGGCAGTGGAGAACTTTCAGAGGGAAATTAACAGGAGATAACTGATATCCATCAAACATGGCACGTGGAACTAGAACAGTCTACCCCGGTCAGCGAAATAAAGGGTTCAGTTCGACATTCCAACCACCTGAAGAATGCCGGAGCGTACAACGGCCGAAACGTTGTGATAAATATGGCGACAAAGATGAGGACAATAGTCCAAATAATGTGCAAAAGTAATATTCAAGAAAGGGAGAAGAATGGAAACAAACTCAATAGCTTAATCTTTGTCACAAAGATTACGGAACTAGAATAAGATGAAGCCTATAAGTACAGAGGAATTAGCGAAGAAGATGTTATACGATATAACCAAGTGAAGGGAAAACCAAGAAACAAGTACTACAGGCGGGTGCGTCTGGTAATTAATACTGAACTGAATTAAAAAAAACAAAACAGAATATCCTCCATAAACAACTTGGTTTTCCCTGTGGTGCAATACAGTTTTAACATCCTTAAGCATAGTTAAATTAAGTGAATCGACGACAAAATGAGAAAGTTTTTCACTTGCTACTACATGCATCATTCGAAAGCTGATGTTGATCAACTGCATGTATCCAGACCCGAAGTAGGCAGAGGATTATTTCAACCAGAACTGTCCTACAAAACTACAAAGATTCTCCTTCAAAGATACCTGGAAACTACAGAAGACTGGCTGATGATATGTGACAAAGAACATGAATGTTGTAAGCCCTTTTATTTCATATTAAAAGAAACCAACAAATTCAAAATGGAGTTTCAAATGAAGGCAGAAATATAAGTATGCACAATCCACCGACTGAAGCTGCAAAGTACATACAAAAGCAAAAAACAAATGACCAGGTACAGAAACAATGGCCTGATTAACCACTTCATGGCCAATACTCTGCCCATACCAAGCAAGGTGATGTAGGCAAACCCTGTACCCACCAGTGGCTACGCAGTGCAGGTCTAAAAGCTGAAACCGATGGTTTTATCGTTGCTGCACAAGACCAATTCTTGTTAACTAGAAATTATCAAGCACACATACCAAATTATTGTGTTAGACCAAAATTCAGATTCTCTGATAAATATCCGGAAACAATAGATCATCTTGTATTAGGTTTTACGGTATTAGCACCATATAAAACCCGGCATGAGAGAATGGGCCAATATTTGCACAGGAAAATCTGAAGCTTCGACGGAAAGGAAACTGAAAGAAATTAGTATGAACACCACGCAAACCCGGTTACGGAGAAAGGTCCTGTTAAAATTTTATGGGATTACACAAAACACACAGACAGAACAATCAAAACTAACCCCCCAGACATTGTTATTAGAGAGTGCCTCCTTATTGATATGGCAGTCGCTGCAGACTGCAGTGTATCATTGAACACAATCAAAAAGCTATAAAAATAAAAACACCTTGAAATAGAAATCTCACAAATGTGGCACATGAGAACATCTACAATCTGGAGCTCTCGGATTGTTTGGAAAATATTCCAATAGACTATTTGAAGGGATTCCTGGAAGCCCATGCTTTTAAGAAACCCAAAATATTGTTCCTATGAGAATAGCCCGCAAATTACGAAGAGCTATATCTACGTAATTTTTTTTTAATTGTTCAGTAGAAAATGTCATGACGCCATTATAACCTTAAATTTCTGGTCGGGACACGGAAAGAAATGAGTACACACCAGAAATCAAAGGAAATAAAATAAAATAATAATAATAATAATAATAATAATAATAATAATAATAATGACAATAAAAAAGTGACAGTTATAAAAAACATTAATAATTGTTGTGGATATTTTTATCAGGTGATTGTCTCTAAAGTAGTATAGTAGGAGTGGTGTAGTTTAGTTAACGTTTCTGATTAGTTTTATCGGTCTGTGTTAAATATTATTGTGGTGGTTGTGTTTGTGGGTGTCGTAGGGTTGGTAAAAGTAACGGTAGAGTTAATGATAGCTGTAATACATTGTTGTGTTGTTTGCCAAAGAGACGTGTGTAGCATATAAAAATGTTAATGACAGTCTCACATACACCCATCCTCCAAACATCCACACTCGCTCATCAAGCACATACCAAAATCCATCAGCCACAAACTAACAGGCAACTCAGAAATTTGTAATGACAAAAAACTTCATATAACAACAGACTAAAAAAAGCCCATAAAACCATCAGCTACAGTACACATAATCACAAAGAAAACAGAAAAAGAAATATAATTTACTTTAACGCACCATACAATAAAAACTGCAGAAAAAACATCAGTACATTCCTAAATCTTATTAGAAATAACACTACCCCGTCACAAACCCCGTTAGCAAAAATATTTAAAAAACACCGTAAATCTTAACTAGAGCATAAGACAAAATAAAAAGCCACAACAAAAAATAATAACATTCTATAGCGTAATCAAAGACCCCCCCAATGCAAATACCACGACAAAACTACATACACGCTACAAAGAAATTTCGTACAAATGAACATAATATACAAAGCTAATCTAAAATCAAACAACACCACAATGTACTACTTTGCCGCCACGGAAGGAACATTCAAGCAAAGAAAATACAAATACAACCTCTCATTCTGCAACAGAAAATACTCCAAAACTACCAGACTATCCACATACATATGGCAACTCAAAGACAGAACATTATACCAAATAAAAGTAGGGGAATCATGAAAACAGCACCTGACTGCAATAACATATCAAAAAGAAGTCTACTTTGTCTGCACGAAAAAGTGTCAATAATCTGCCACACTCCACAAAAGTAATTTCTAAACAAATGATCGGAAATAATTTAAAAATGCAGAAACGAAAATAAATATCTACTATTAGAGTTCATACAAAACTGATAATACCTGCAACAAAATTGAAAACCAGCCCCTAAGGAAACTATCGTAAAAAATGTTAGAACACTAAAAACGAAGAACAAAAATACAAACAAAATATAACTACCAACACCTATCATTAATACGATCTGCACTGTTACCAACACTAGCACCACACCGAAAAAAAAAACATAGCTAACAAGATAGCAATTAATACAGATCGCTAAGACTATAAACAGCGTGTTACCTAAAATATAATCATTCATAACCATCTCAACTACCACTAGTAATGCCTTTTAACACTGCCATTGCTTTTTTAAATTATTGTTATTATTATAATTTATTATCCGTATTATTATCATCATCATTACCATGGTTGATTGTTGAGAGGACAGCACCGGTGTCATTCAAACAATGTTCAACTTTCCGACGCCAAAGAGAGTGATAGGTATCTTTTTTTTAATGGAACAGACTATGCCTCAACTAGCGTTTAGCAGAAAAATTAAGGGGAAAAAAAGCATTTTGTGTGATTTCTCAGCGAGCTAGCTACTAAAAGATAAATTTTAAATTTAAAATTTTCATTTAAATAGAAGTCAGTTAAAAAGCAGAACATTGTAAGATTAGTACACTTGTAGCCATATGAAAGGTCAGTCAATGTGATCACTGCCCTATGCGATAACACACACATGTGTAGGCACACAGAGATACACACGCACATACCGATAGATAGATAGATAGATAGATAGATAGATAGATAGATAGATATAAGCACACATGAATATATACAGGCATCGACAGATTTATATTATGCCGAGTAGGAAACAAAATGGACGGAAGGTTCCACTGTAGGTGTGGAAAAAATTGAGGAAAAAATGATACCAATATTTTCATAAATTTCATACATATTATATTTATTTCATATTGACGGAATTTTCGAACACGCCTTTTTTTCAAATAGAGAAATATAATTGATCACTATAATAGTTTATTTAGTTCTTAGAATTAAACCACAATGTTCTGTCTTATATGGTACTTTTGCTTATGAAAACAGATTGTCTTTTTGGTACCAAGCAATTTGAAGATGTAGAAATATATCTGATGGGAAAATCAGTTTGTGTTTCCGATATATCTGGATGATAATATCTTACAGTATTTAGCTTTGCGTAAATATTTGTCAGTTTCAATTTAGTCTTGCTCTAATCTAAAAGTGAGAAGACTTCAATACAGTACTCTTATCTTGTCCGAGCTATTAACATAAACATTTCCTTTGCTTCCCATGGAAAATATATTTTTTTCTTTTGTTTTGCTCATCTACATATGACGCAATCGAATTTCAGCATTCGAATTATTGCTTGCTTACCCTTTAATAATAGATTACTACAAAACAATTATAATTACATATCATGTCTGGATAAAAGGCCATTTCATCACCCACTGTACCACACTAGCCTACAGCTAAATACACATATTTGAATAACTATTCTATATGTATACTTACCAACAGAATGCTCTAAGAACAAGCCTTTGATATTCAATAAAAATATACCGTTTTTTCATAAATTGCCAAAAGGCATTTGATAAAGTTAATATGGATATCTTCTTTAAAGGAGAGAAAATCTTGATCTATTTGAAAATGAAACACGTACAATCCGCAGTCTTCATCGGCAACAGTTTACATGAGAATACACAGTGTCAATGTGCATTTAACTGCAATTTAATTGTAAATATTTCTTTTACTGTTCTAATTTAATATTTCCGCTGGACCTTCTTGATTTCGGTGATAAAAAAAATGATTTTCTAGAAATCTCTACAATATCAACAACTGGCATCTGATTTCTTCAATTTCTATCCTTAATTCTATCTTCTAGGAGGCATCTTTTTGTTTATTGTTTAATCTTTTATTTTGTCTTGTCATTAAGCTTTTCAGTAGCTGCTAAAGCTGTTGCATAAATGACACTTTTTTTTATTTTTGTGAAGTTTTCCAGTGGTCTGACCGTTAACAATTTTTCCGAAGCATCATTATATGTTTGCACAGTGTATTTATTGTAATTTTCTATATGAATTTTTTGAAGCCGGTCGCTTTCTGACATTTGCATGCTAGTTAACTTGTGAATTATTTTAATTATATTGTTTTTATTTCAGTAATGTCTGATCTGCTCTTTTCAAAGAATTCTGTTCTTAATGTCTTTTGATTCTTTATAATCGTTGATAGTGTGAATTAAGACTAAGGTGCGGTGTAAGGCGAGGAAAGGAAGGAAGAAAAAGGACAATTAATCACGATACTCTACACGTACTCATATCCACACAGACGGGCGCATGCGCTCAGCGCGCGAACGTACATCCGCGCAGACGGGCGAACGCGCACAAACACACATGCACACACACACACACATACACACACACATAACGCTAACACTAACATAAACAGAACGAAAATAACTAGCACTATTGATAAGTGCATATAAAAAAAAAATATCGAAAACACACCCTGAAGAGTGGAAGGACGGCTCTGTCTAAGAAACTGTCATTTATGTGACAAACCTTTACTTATATATATATATATATATATATATATATATATATATATATATATATATATATATATACAGAAAGAGATTTTTGGATGTAAAATATAATATTTCAGTAACTACAGCATATTTATTTTCAGTGTTTCTGCACGCTACTATTATTAGCAAAATGTTCAAATTTGAATTCGACTTTCCACAATACATTTTGCAAGATTTTGAATATTTTGTATGATAAGTATCATGTTTTGTTTTCACAATTAACTCCTAATTAGTTTAAGTTTTAACATCTTTCTAAAGTAAGTTTTTTTTATATCATTTTTCCCCTGCTCGTATATTTTTCCTCCATTCTGGACATAGCATATGTCAAAATTACACGAATATTCTATAGTCACGAGTGCTTTTGTATAGTCTTTTAGCCACTATCAAGTATGATTTTTATTTTTATTTCTAACTAGATGTTAAGCTCTTAATAACATCAAATATGAATAGGGATACAATGTGCTGACCGTCTATGAAAAATAGAATAATTCTTATTATTGTATATACATAGATAAAATAATCCATATATTGTAAAATATTTGCAAAAGATCATTTTTGTGTTTATACAATGTTTACATTCCTAAATGTTTCACCTGTGTTTTTTTATGTTGAGGTGAGGAGCATGTTTCTGCCTCATTGCTAAATACCTGTTGCCTCTTTAATAACGTTATCTTTTTGTACTGTGTTAAATATTGTATTGCTTTTCACAAAGTTGTGACGAAATTGAAATTAATTTTGGATAAAATCGTTTCTGTTGTATCTGTTTGAAGACAGAATTAATTTGAAAAAAAGAAAGAAATAACTCAACTCTTAAAACTGTCTTCAAGCAGGCATAATTGAAAAGAATTTATCCAAAACTAATTTAAAAAAGAATCTTTTACAATTCAATACAGTCAATGCATTAGACATTCATTCGAATAGTTCTAAGCATAACACCGAGAAAAAGTTTCAGTTTTATTTACAAGATCAAAAGGGATTGAAAGTTCATTAGTTTCACAATCTACTGTAGTTATGCGTGTATTAGCAACGTTTATATGTGTGAGTCTCTGTGAGTGTTTTTGTGTGTGTGTGCATGCGTGTGACTGTGTGTGTGTGCGTGTGTGCACTCCCGCGCAGGCATTAAATTTCAGTTGGCCATGGAAAAAAGTTATCAAGTGGAGAAAAATATTCGTCTCTTGACCCTGTTAAATTATGGCGCAAACAAAATACAAAGAGGAGGAGGAGGAGGAGCATTTTTATCCTTTTTTCGTCATTAAACTGCGCCAAGGCACGGATGTCTTAGCAGGCCATATAGTGTTAAGCCCTACACTGCGCTATTTTTTAGCGTTAACCTATTATTCATCACTGATTTTCTATGTTGTCCTTCTAGATTTAAATATATTGTTCTTCGAAGAACATGCCCGATTAGAGAATCAAATTCTATTCCTGCTTTAATGTATTCAATCTGTCTTTAAATTATGTAAAATAGAAAGCTTGAACATCTATATATGTCTACCATCGAGTTACAAGCATATTTCTGCTTTTACAATAAAATTATAAATGTTTTGTCGTCAATAAATTGACCGAATATTTTGGGGCTGAAAAAATTAACAAGTTTCTTGAAAAAGTTTTGGACAGTGAATGAGAAATTGGGAGAAGATGGTTGATGTGGCAAAGTCTTAAGTCAGTGAACTTATGCAGTGTCATCCTAGCAATATTCGGCCAAGATTTGACATGAGGTAGAATTAGACATCGTTTATTATCCAGTGCCAGAAATATTTTGCTTAACTAAATTAACATTGCATAGAATTGCTGGCTGTAAATTTCAGCAATTTTGCTCTGGTTCGATTCCACAAAGATGTAATTGATAATGCTCACGTGCAACCACCATAAAGTCATTCAGAAACTTCTCTTAGTCAAAATTTCGGTTTCTGTTTGGATGTTTCGTTATGATCAAGCCACCGCGTCGATCGTTTACGCTAGTCATAAAGAATTTCTTTCTCATCAAAAGTCAATATTTGAACAAGTAATTGATCATTCAAATTTCACAGATAGAGAATCGAATCCACTTCAAAATGTCGTACTGCCTAGAAATAATCTTTCTCTCTGTACGAATTGCTTTTCTTTGTCTGGAATGTGGCTTTTTGTAATTAGAATATGTTCTTCTCTGTTCCGGAATCTTTTCCTTTACATTAATTGAGTTCATGGGAAAATCATTTATTGACTTTCTTCTTTTTACCAAATATCTTTAAGATGGTCTGATAACATTGAAATGCTGACACCCATGATAAGACATTATTCTGACATTTTGATGTAGGCGTTGTTCTAATAGTGTTTTTATTTTTTTAATAGAAGGTAATTGTCAATTACAGGTAGACATCCTCTACTACCTTGAACTTCGAGACTCGTATCTCGACTGCGGAACTTCAGAAACCAGAATTGTAATGCCAGATTACAAGTGAATGATTCACCTCATGGTCTGTTAATATTGGTTGTAGTTTGAGAAATATTATGGCAAGCCTTGAACTCATGTTAGAAAAGTAATCAAATCTAATTTTTATTGTTCAGGAGGTGTTTATAATTTTTAGGTTGAATCCCGAAAAAGACTGATATACAATTAACAAAGAAAGCGTTTTAATCAGCAGGAATTAGTATATATATTTTTTTTTGAAACTATTATAATTATATATTCTGACACGAAAGGTTTATTTTAAAATCAGGCATTATATTCTGAACAACACGTTTTGGCTCTGCGTTTTGTCATTTTCCTTCTTATTTAATCTTTGGAAAGCATTCTGCTTTAAAATAAAATTAATATAGAATTTTTATTTCCAAGCACTAAATAAGCTAATCACACGATTGTAAACAGTTTAATTATTTGTTTTGAATTTTAGGTTTCATGCAGTTACAATATCGGGAAAATGTTTAGCGGAATATAATCGAAGATATCTCTAAACTCGTAATTTATCAATGATTCTCAAAAAAATATAAATGAAAATATATGCAAATAAAATGTTTTGCGCTTTACAGCTATAAATCCGTTGTGACAAGATAAAAAGAATATAGACTGTCATAAATGTCATGGAAAAATATGATATTTTTGTGAAAGACAAACTATTATTTGATTGTGCATTACGTTAATATTCATATGAGATTAATGTTCCTAATATGAGGATATTTTTGTATTGTTGCATCTCATCTGTGAATCACAAATCCTTCTCTTCCCTTTATAAATATCTGCCGATATACAAATATGTAAACTCAAATGAACAGAAATGATATCTCTCTTGATATCGTAATGGCTGATATTTACAAAGTCTATAGAATGAATAGTAATACAAAATTTGACGATCGAATACGATTTACAACAGTTAGTCAAAAGGAAACATTAATTCATATATCAATTCATTTTATATAGAAAAGCTCACTGTCCAAAACTGAAAAATATTTGTGTGTGTGTGTGTTTGGGCGTGGTGAATGCAACGTACTGCTTCAACAATGAATAATTGCATTTATCCACTCTTTATTGGCCTAGGTTTGTGTGTTTATGTTCAGCCATTCTTCAGATTTCGACATATTAATATTCTACAGTTACTTCCGCCTTCTTTCTGTCATTTAGAGGTCTGCACCTTTTGACTTTCTTGTAACTATTACTGCCGGAAATATCGGGTTGTTATGGACGACATCAAATGCACTTGCATGAACTACAAAAACGGGACTAATATAGTCAATGGATATCAATCATGTGATTAAGTCCATATATTCAAATGAAATCATTTATAATCAATACAGATAAATATTAATCAATATCATCAGAAAATCGCTTGTATTTCTATGCATTTGATTATATTCTTGACAGAAGAGTTTATCAATAATATAATGCTACGCCAGATTTTAGAATGAACAATGGCATTTCATTTGAGTAAGTATATATTGTTTTATTCAATTCTATATGATATATTGATTACTCAGAGCATTTTGTCGTTTCCAGCGAAAGTCGGAAATTGTGTTTTGTTTAGTCACTATATGCAAATGAGGTAATTTAGGAATTTAATACTATTTCCCAAGACTGCCATATTTTTTAAAATATCAGCCGTAATATTAGTTTAAGTTTACGCGCTTTGTGATTAATGTTTAGTTATAACAATAAGTTCGAAATAATTAATATTCTTTACAATATGCAATTATATTCGTAATGATAATACTGAGAATAACTGTATCCTTGTAAGGAAACATTAGGCATTCATTGACCGAACAGTGAACGCTTTTGTCGGAAGAACTTCCTAAAAATCTTACTCCAAAAACATTTATTCAAATAAAGAAAGTTATTAAACCCAGTAAGTTGTGATCCCTCTTCCTAATAATGATTGGGGTTTCCTTCCTACAATTTTGTTTAAGGTACCATCTTGACTATATTATTATTTTACATTATAGTTACTGATAATTTTGGAAAATTTCAAGTGTTGTGTTTTTGTTTTATTTGTATCTCTGTAGTACCAGTATCTAAAATCTAATGAATGATTGTCTTTAATAACTAGATTATTCATTCAATTGAAGCCAATTATAATCACTAATCTGAGGAAACGGTTGTTCATAGCGTATAATTCAAACAATTCTAGCATTTTGGACCTCTAGATCTATAAAATAAGAAAGAAAAGGAGTTAATGTATATCTTAGTGATGATTGGTACAAAATTAATATATCCTTCCCTTTATGTTTCATGTAATCAAATGAAGAAACACACGAATTAATTGTTTTCTTGGCCTCTGCCCTCGTTTCTCTTTAGCTAATAAAAAAACACTGTAGTATATATATATATATATATATATATATATATATATATATATATATATATATATATATACTCGACCCTCCTGTCGATTTCGACGTATGACGGTCAAGCAGATGAATTACTAGGATAACGAATTCTACAACAGCACATGAGATTTGAATATTATATTGGTGAATGTTTCGTGCAGGATCATCCACACTTTTTCAATAAAGAGACCAGGTGCACCACGTGCCATAGGGTCCGTAAACGACCGTCAGCAGGTTTTGAATTCAGTGTACTTCTTCTAGACCAGTTGCCATCCAAGGCTATATAAACCAGTCTCTCCTGCTATTTACTCATAGCTGAAAAGAGAGGAAGCGGGTTCATACCTTTTCCCAAGTGTATTAGCACGTAAGTGAATGAAATGAAATCGGGTTTGATCCTAGCTAGAGGCAACCGGATGTCTAGCCACACTGATGAGCTGAGATACAGCGAAACAGTCTGTCTGTGGATGACAATATATATATATATATATATATATATGTATGTATGTATATATATGTATGTATATATATGTATATATATGTGTGTATATATATATATGTATATATATATATGTATATATATGTATATATATATATGTATATATATGTATATATATATGTATATATATATATGTATATATATGTATATATATATATGTATATATATATGTATATATCGCACCCGGCCGGAAGTTACTGCCGGCTACTCAAACATCTAAAAGCGTCACCGCGGAAAACATAACGAATGCCGTTAACTTCCGGTGACTAAGCGTTTTTCAGTCAACGTCTCACACAAACTAAGAAAAAACGAAACATTTACATATACTAACTTTCCTAACCAAAAACAATTACCAGAAACTACTTTATATACACATGGTGTCCGAATGGAATCCATGTGTACAGCCAAAAAGTAGAAGGTAATTTTCAGTCATCACCCCAAATATATCGCTGACAGGCTACGTTGCCGACCTCGCCAGCCGGATTTATACATTAAACTTCTCGGATTTTTTCCACCAAGCGACGAGCTCCCCCCTCTCAATGACCACACGAAGCAGCAGCAGCTCTCGGCATCAGCATTTTTGGCCAGCAGAGCAGTCCGGCCTCCTCCACATTGAGCGACGAGCAGTCCGGCCTCCTCCTCAGCAGCAGCAGCTAGAGCCAGCAGAGCAGTCCGGCCTCCTCCACATCAGCCTAGAGCCAGCAGAGCAGAAGCAGCAGCAGCTAGAGCCAGCAGAGCAGTCCGGCCTCCTCCTCAGCAGCAGCAGCTAGAGCCAGCAGAGCAGTCCGGCCTCCTCCTCAGCAGCAGCAGCTAGAGCCAGCAGCAGTCCGGCCTCCTCCAGCAGCAGCTAGAGCCAGCAGCAGCCTCCTCCAGCCAGAGCAGTCCGGCCTCCTCCTCCAGCAGCTAGAGCCAGCAGCAGTAGAGCAGAGCAGTCCAGCAGCAGCAGCCAGCAGTCCGGCCTCCTCCTCATCAGCAGCAGCTAGAGCCAGCAGAGCAGTCCGGCCTCCTCCTCATCAGCAGCAGCTAGAGCCAGCAGAGCAGTCCGGCCTCCTCCTCAGCAGCAGCAGCTAGAGCCAGCAGAGCAGTCCGGCCTCCTCCTCAGCAGCATAGAGCCAGCAGCAGTCCGGAGCCAGCAGCAGCAGTCCGGCCTCCTCCTCCTCATCAGCAGCAGCTAGAGCCAGCAGAGCAGTCCGGCCTCCTCTCCAGCAGCAGCAGCTAGAGCCAGCAGAGCAGTCGGCCTCCTCCTCATCAGCAGCAGTCCGGCCTCCTCCACATCAGCAGCAGCAGCAGAGCAGCAGCAGCCAGAGCAGTCCGGCCTCCTCCTCAGCAGCAGTCCGGCTCAGCAGCAGCCAGCAGAGCAGTCCGGCCTCCTCCTCAGCAGCAGCAGCAGAGCAGTCAGCCTCCTCTCCAGCAGTCCGGCCTCCTCCTCAGCAGCAGCAGCTAGAGCCAGCAGAGCAGTCCGGCCTCCTCCTCAGCAGCAGCAGCTAGAGCCAGCAGCAGCAGCAGCTAGAGCCAGCAGAGCAGTCCGGCCTCCTCCACATCAGCAGCAGCTAGAGCCAGCAGAGCAGTAGAGCCAGCAGAGCAGTCCGGCCTCCTCCTCAGCAGCAGCCTCAGTCCGGCCTCCTCCTCAGCAGCAGCAGCCTCCTCCTCAGAGCCAGCAGAGCAGTCCGGCGGCCTCCTCCTCAGCAGCATCAGCAGCAGCAGCCTCCTCCTCAGCAGCAGCCAGCAGAGCCAGCAGCAGTCCGGCCTATCCTCGGCAGCATGAGAGCCAGCAGCAGTCCAGCCTCCTCCTCATCAGCAGCGGCTAGAGCCAGCAGAGCAGTCCGGCCTCCTCCTCAGCAGCAGCAGCAGCTAGAGCCAGCCAGTCCGGCCTCCTCCTCATGATATGCAGCCAGCCTCCTCCTCGGTTAGAGCCATGATATGCAGCAGCCTATCCTCGGCTACATGATATGCATATGCACTCAGCCTATCCTCGGTTACATGATATGCACTAGCCTATCCTCGGTTACATGATATGCATCCTCGGCCATGATGTCACTAGCCTATCCTCGGCTACATGATATGCACTAGCCTATCCTCGGTTACATGATATGCACTAGCCTATCCTCGGTTACATGATATGCACTAGCCTATCCTCGGCTACATGATATGCACTAGCCTATCCTCGGTTACATGATATGCAATAGTCTGCCCCGATTACATAATATGCAATAGTCCTTTTCAGGACTAACCTAGCCGCGTCCCTTTTATTAGGGACTACCAAGCTGCGATCCTGCGCGACACTCCACCCAAGGACGAACTGACTACACCACAGCACTGTCCGCGTCGATCCTCTCTCTGCAAGTACAGACATCCAGGGATCGACTGGACCTAGAACATCGCTGGTTCCATTCGGCCTACCTCCAAGCTGTCGCCTTGAGACCTGACAACACTCCTCCAAGACTACACGACCGAACTACTACAAACGATTATCTGTATATATTCGTGCCAAATTTATTTAATAAAATTTGGCTTAAACTTTTACATCCTCGTTTTTGTTGTCCTTGCTTCGATCGTATTATCTTATATTATTTTTTCCGTTTGCGGGGTTAACAGTCAACCTGCTTAGCGTCGCAAACATATATATATATATATGTATATATATGTGTATATATATATATATGTATACATATATATATATATATATGTATGTATATATATATGTATATATATAAAAAAATATATATAAAAAAAATGATCATACAAAAGAAATTCATTTTCTTTAAATCATTATATTTGTTTTGTGGTATCAAAACATTATTCCAATATTTAAAATGTAGATACCACAAGATTATCATAGAGGACTTGAATAATGTAATTAGACTTTGGTACAAGTTAAGTTCATTACGTACCAAAAAAAGATTTCTCCTTTCTTGTTTGTCTTTTGGTGTTGTTCCTTCCTTTATTAAACACAGATTAATAAGGGCAAAAGTTGATTATAGTTTCCAATTAGAACAAGCTTTTTATTAAGTATGAGCTTGACAAATTAATACAATTATTTTTTCAACCCCATGATATATCGTTTTCTTTATAGGCAAAAATCAAAAGACATCTTTCGTTTTTTGATTTTTCCGTTTTTCGAAATATCTAGCTAAATGGAGATTAAATTTCGAAGAGAGAACCTTGCAAAGGACAATAATTACATTAACGTTTTTAATCAGAAAACGATTTGGTTTCGAGAATTATTCTTTGGACAGGCATATAATTAACCTGTCTAATAGTAATCATTCTGAGATAGAAAAGGTAGTTTTGTCTAGAGGTTTGGATTTTGTATTCCCCTCGAAATATAAACAAAGCTGAAGTTTTTGCTGAATTTGAAATTATGGTTTCGCAGTTGCTTCGTCTTGTTCCTTCTTCCACGGACCAATTCACATTTTGTAAATCAAAGATTTTGGAAACAGCTCACGAGTTTGTTTCCACACCAATCGAACGTGACATGGTCGCATGGCGTCGCGTTCATTATAAAACTGTCAAATCTTTGAAAACTCGTAATGATATCTACATTACCAAACCAGACAAAGGTGTTGGTGTAGAATATTATGAACAAGAATGACTATGTCAATAAAATGAATGTCATTCTAAGAGATACTTCAAAGTTTCGCTTGATTGGTCCTTCCTCAACACATGACCGTACTGACAAACTAGAAATAAAACTGCAGAAACGGTTATTAGAGGTACATAAAAATAATTTTATATGTAAAGATACCTACAACAGGATTAGACCTGTAGGTTCCCAAAGACCCAGACTTTATGGGTACCCAAAATTCACAAAAATAATGTGCCGTTACGTCCCATTTTATCTCTGGTGGGTTCAGCACAGCATGAGTTGGCCAAGTGGTTATCAGAGTTAATTAAACCTATTTCTGATTATTTCTCAACCTATTGTGTATCTGACTCTTTCACCTTTCTCTAAACTCATTAGAAATTGTTCTATTTCTTCTGATCACAAGATTATGGTGTCTTTCGACATTGTTAGTCTGTATACCAATATCCCCTCAAAGAAACAGCACAGATGTGCTGATATGCTCTATAGAAGTTTCCTGGGTCCTCCTCTATTCCTGAGCCCTTATTCTTAGAGTTCCTAACATTAGTAACAGAAGGAATAGAGTTTAGCTTTGAAAATATTATGTACTCCCAAGTAGACGGCGTTTCTATGGGTAGTCCTTTGGGTCCCTTTTTAGCCAACATCTTGTTGGATATCATGAGAGCATTTTATTTGGGAAATATCAAAACCTTACATCTATCAACGTTATGTTGATGATACTTTTTTCTATTTAATAACATAGAGGAAGCCACTCTCTTTTGTGAAGCGTTAAATTCCTTGCACCTGTCTTTGGTCTTCACTATGGAAGAAGAAATGTATAATTCTATATCATTTTAAGATGTTCATGTGGAACGAAAGAATAATATTTTCATCACTAGTGTGTTTCGTAAAGAAACCTTTTCAGGTCTTTACACTAATTGGAACTCATTTGTCCCCCATACCAGAAAAATAAATCTGGTTAAGACCTTAGTTCATAGGGCTTTATTAATTTGTTCCTCTAGCACACTTCAACAAGAGTTGAACAAAATTCGAGACATTCTCATCAACAATGGTTTTCCAGCCAACATTGATGACCGCACAATGAAGCGGAAAATAGAGAATTTCAATATGCCCCCAAAATTTAGCCCAGGTCTTTGCCCCATTTATCTGAAATTACCTTTGGCTAGCAGAAAATGTAAACTTTTGACTGATAAAGTTTCGGATGTTGTTTCTGCTACTTTTTTTCGGCCAAAAGTACGTGTTGTCTTTTGGTACTGTACTGTTTTTCCGTCTTTTTCCAAGGATCGTTTGCCCTATCATAATAAAAAGTTCGATTATATATAAATTTAAATGTCAGTGCGAAGTTGAATATATAGGGCGAACATGTTGTTCGTTTGGAAACAAGAATCGGACAACATGTACCCAGACACATTAAATTAAATTTAGATAATCGCATTCGTGTTTCGCAATCAGCTCACGATTCGGCGATCGAGCAACACCTGTTAGAAAAATGAGTCATGCTCAAAAACGTTTTACAATGGACTCGTTTTCAATTATATGCGTAAAGGGTCCAAATATCATCTGTCTATTTTGGAAGCCATCTTTCAAATTATTTAAACCATCGCTTTTAAAAAAAAAAGAAAATTTTTCACGATCGCTAAATTTATTTTTTTGATATATGAGCAACTTATTTTTCTATTTTACTGCTCAGGTTGGTTCATTATTATAAATTTATTATTTACGCATTTATTTTAATCGTAATTCATTTTAATTTTACGTATATATATCTTCGTAAAAT